TACAAAATATAATACATAATACACTTGTATTTACTATATTTGTAAGAGCTCTGGCTATAAGGGCTAAGAAGGTTAGGGTTCTATTTCTGAGGTTCTATTTTTCTAGGAAGGCTCTGAAAAGCTAGTTATATAATTGTGTGGCACGTGACATGTCACGTGACTAGAGGCCACGTTACTAGCTAAATTAAGCTGCGATATACGGTTAAATTCCTTGCTGCGATATGCGGCTAAATTCCTCCACACAATATTAATAATAGAACCTATTAAATAATAATTTACTTTTATAATTATTTTTTAGGCTTAAGCTTATATCTTAAAAAGAATATTAATCCTTTATATTAAGATTAGGAATAGTAAGCTTAAAGTTATATTCGCTTTTATTAAATACACTTTAAAAGAGGTATAAAAAAATATTACTCTTAAAATAATATTAGGCTTAATAGTAAGCGTAAATAACTTATATTATTATTAAAAGTAACTTTTATATTCTAATATAATTAAATGTGTAATTTAATTAAAGGTTTAAGAATTTATTTATTAATTATTTTAATTATAATTTAAATTAATTCTAATACGTATAATATATAAAGTAATAGCTAAAGTTATTTACTTAAATTTAATATAAGTGCTACCTTATAATTTATTTTAGGTTATATTATACTATATTATTAATATTACTTTATAACGCGCACACGAAGTCACCTATAAAGAGGGACTAAATCGGGCATCGCGTATAGGGAGTTACCTGTAAAGAGAGATTAAATTAGGTTCGCTTATATCCTAAAACGAGGTATAAATCCCTATTAATTTTAGTTTAAATTCTATAAGTATTATTACGTGAGAAGTAAGTATAAATTAAGGTTAAAACCCTTAATAAATAAGTATAAAAGAATTAATTTAAATATTAAATAATTTAAATAAGTTTTAATCTTATATTTATTAAAAGATTTAAAAATAAAGTTCTTTCTTAATTTCTTATTTAATTATCTTATATTTTAGGTTTATTTTAATAATTC